ACTATTAATAGCGGTGTTTGTTCCTTTTGTGTTGCTTCCTCCTATCGGTTCGAATTCCTATTTTCTTAGTCTCGCTTCGAGTGCCAAATTTTCCTTATGTATAATTGGTATGTTACATATATCTTTTTTTTCTGTTTTAACAAGTTTACTCTCTCGTACGCTAGTGCATCTTAGATATAGCGTCAGCGTTTTACTCTCGTTTCCGTATAATTGACCGTAATTGAGCCGGTCAATTATAAAACTAAATATATCCAAGTTGTATCTCTGTCTCTATCATTGTATCTTTGTTAGACATCGTCGTCATGATAGGACCCTATTGTTTTGGACGTTGCTCCATACAAATACATTTATTCATCACAACATTCTAGTTTGCCAATTACGATACTTATGTTGTTCAATTGTTTGTTTGTAAGATTGTTAAGATATTCCTGAAGTTGTGAAGAGTCTTAACAATATACAAACGATACAAAACTGATTTCTGAAGAAGTAAAAGATGTCTGCGACACATCTTGTATAATAGGTATAATCCCCCGAGACAACGCCTTTCACCAAAGTTAACCCTGCCATGTTTTTGATGTGAGGCTTATTGATAAGAAGATTGTTGATCGCCCTCCGGGATTGTCGGAGTATACCGGTCGATATTCTGTCCTTGTTACTTACATCTGTGTTGTTCACACTTCATTGTGTCCGAGAACAACTACACGTAGGGCGCGCAGTGCTCTGGTGTCAAAGCTGCAATATCATCATAACTACACGTCGGGCGCGCAGTGCTCTGTTGTCAAAGCGGCAATATCATCATACTTATCGAACTTCAGCTGTCACCTATATACATTTTCTCCATCTTAACTAGCCTAAAGGAAACCGTTTGGGTCCACTTTCATCATCTGGAATTCCTTTGACACGTGGATGCTATTATAAATACGCTGTATAAATGCTGTAATACACAATTTTTATATGTTTCTTTTTTACTTACTCAATAATAAGGGTCGTAGTAATAAATACCTTAAAGCCACAGTTATCTTTTTGAATATGGACGTGGTTCATAAAAATACTTTTCACACTAATTTGTATTTCCGGCTTTTTGGTCCCTGGCGTCACCGATGAGTATTAAAATTAAAAGGAAGGAACATCTGCCATATATCTATTACCATGTTTTATAGGTACAGTTATCTGTGTGTGTGTGTTTCACGGTCTTTCGGAATTTCAGTAACCTCATTTACAAAAGTGTCTCGTATCTCCGATTTGTAATTCTCTAGTTTTTGTATCATTCATCTACATGGATCATTTCTATATTGACACATATTTAAGGGATAGTACGTTGTTTTGAGTGGCTATACTGTGTTCTAATCGCCAGTATAGACACGAAAAACAACGTACTATCCCCATTCTAACGCACCTTAACAAATATACTACGCTAATATGTTTAGAAACATTGTATTTCCTTGTACAAATGTACGTAGTAAAGTAATATGTGACTTGAACAGGTGACGTGTCATTCTGCTGCAGATTGACCAATTGGAAAGTAGCTTTCAGAAGTCGGTCATGTTAGCCCCGCCCATACTCGCGATCGCTCGATCTGTATGTTGAGGAGGCGGAATATTTGGATTGTTCGTGTTACCAAAGTTTACACGACACATTTGGATTGATATTGACCAAATTCTTACATTTCCATATCAGTATGCACACCAATCTGTGCCTTTCGACAAAATTGGTGATTATTTGAATAGATTTGTTAAGAGTTTTTTGTAAATTCATACGGCACATGTGAAATGTTTCATTTGATTTCGGATCTAACTAGATGCCTTCACACAGATGGAACGAACGTTTCAGTAATAAATGGAAGTAAGAACAAGGAATGTTTACTTTTTACTTTTTAATTCATTCATCACATAATTTAATCGGTCGTTTCTGTTTTGTTGCATTGCATTGCATTGCCTGCTAGCCTTATCAGCGGGATTTCGCTAAAAGGCGAGCTTGACGCCATATTGTTTTGGTTAGAAACGTGGCGTGGCTTAAGTGCGATGGGAGGAGCTAAACACAATTGATCATGATTATATAGCAAATTACAACATGGTCCGTATCCAATCAAAACACGCGTTTCAAACGTTAATAATGTGATAGAAGAAAGAGCTTTCCTAGGGTTGGTCAATTCCACTATTGGAATATGTCGCATACACTCAAACGGGACATGTATTTAATGAAGGACACATTTCTTTAAAGTGAACACATGGCTCCTAGATGTTTCTTTACAAAAGTTAAAACAAGGATGTTTTATGGTAAAGTAAAATTAGCTAAAATTATGCTTAATTCCTGGCCATTTTTGCACGTCACAAGATCGTAAAATTAATACTGTGGTCTTTAGTATATAAATATCGTAACTTATCACTCATTTGTTTGTTTCATGACAGGGGAGCTATGACATACATATATATATATATATAGTTATACATTATCTAAACAAGATTGTGTCGACACTGTTTATATTCGGCAATGAATAATTGTCATGTCTTCTTCAGTTTTCTTGTATATCATACACATGCAGATGCTTTTTGACCCATTCAGCTGTTACATAATCGTACGTGCACTGTACTTGAGCGTATGCCTCGCGTATATTACTGTCACAAGGTTAACCCAAGCCCTCCACCTCTCTACTCATTCTGGAGTTTTGATATCGGAATGAATATTATAATGCCGCTTGACCATCTGTTGGTCAGAACTTTGCGAAACAACTGAAGCTCACGTTGACCAAATCATCTCAAACATCTTAGAATGCTTCTTAACTCAAATGCTTGTTTGGGATTGTTTTTGAAAGTCCCAATTATAAATGTTATGTTAACGCCTTTTAATATTAACAGTGCATTGGTTTCTTCACAAAATATCGGAATTCTGTTAACAGAACAAACCCAGAGTTAACACACTTCTTCCTCATCAAACATTTTGCTATGGATTGCTTTAAGTTCAAAGGTCATAGATCAAGGCTACACGGGTTTGGTATTGATCTGTGATACCCTGGTATAGTATGTGAGTGGGCGTCTATTTATCGTAACGAGTTTGTTGATCTTGAGTGATAGATGTGGATATACAGAACCATAAACTAGGCGATTTTACCGTCATCAACCAAGTTGTAGAACTGTTATAGATCGGGAACTAGAGGCTCAAAGCATAATTCGCTTAGCGGCAGCTTAACAAAATATGAAATCGGTATATTTTTTAAAAACAATACTGAAATTTAACTCTTTAGATCTGTGTGTGGGGATTATAATTGAGTATCTTATAACATCAAGTTGTTGTTTTTTATTAATTTGTAGACATTTCTGAAAAAAATGTCATTTAAAAAAAATTGCATTAAGCTTACACGATTTTGAACATCCGGGTTCTGTTAATGGATTTTTCCAAACATTACGTACAAATGGTTACAAGTGTGCATACATTGATTACTGAATGAGTAGGAAATGGTGACATCGGAGAAAATGTATAGCCTAATAAAAAATGTTATAAACATTTCAACTATACGTACCTTTAATCCCGTGATAAAAAAGCATAGGCCTTTCTTTATTTCTATTTGTAATATGTATAATTGCAGATTCAAGTTGTTTGGATGGATATCATACGTATTTCTTGTTTTTTCTTTAATTTAAATGCGTACTTTTACATAACAATACACAATAGATCTGACAAAAAGCTGAACTAAATGTGTTGTCCAATTTCGATATTTGATATAGGTGTACCAGGAACTCTGTATCAATGATATTAGGAGCTCGATAACCCGTTAAAGTCCGCCTGTCTGGAGCTAGCAAAGGCTATTCTTTGAGTGTTGTATACACCTTTACGTAACTAAGTTATGTGTACAGCAAAGACCATGCATATATGATAGGAGGTACACGAAAATAAACCAAAACAACAATGATCATCAAATCATTGAGTGAACTGCACTAAAGAATTTGCCCGAAAACGATATTTTTTTTTGAGTAGTAAATAATTTCAAACTCATAAAATCAATACTATTTATTTTTCTTTTAAAAGTACTGTTTATGATGTTTTCATGTTTTCTTTTATCTATTGTTATTTATATCCATTATTTTTTGCATATTGATACTCGATCCAAAAAGTGAGTGTCCATTTTAGAATCTATTTCCATATACTTCTTTTCCCGGCGTTTTATTGATAACTGGTAGCTTTCATTTGGTTCCAGCTCTGTTAGAGGCGTTATCTTTGTTGTGTAGTGTACATGCTAAAGTGATGAGGCGGCGTCCGTCCTCTGGTGTCCACGAACTCTTCAAACAACTATTTCTTCAGGTCGTTAAAGCATATATTCTTGATATTTGACCTGTATCTTGAACAATTATCAACGTTTAGCTGTGAAAATATTAACTACCTCAAATATATTTATCTTAGAACTTGAGTCTTACTTTTGAAATTCTAAAAAATTGTTGACAGAATAAGTGAACAACGGTCAAGGTCACACATGTCAAATGTGTTAAAATCTTAGAGCGGCTCCATCTGTAGATTTGGCGGCGACGTGTCCATTCCTTTTGTCTGTAGTTTGCAGCAGCGATGACAAGTTATCAACTTGAAGTTAGTTATGATATATTTCCCTGACCCACTTTAAAGGTCAGAAAGGTCAGAAGTGTTAAAACATTCTTACAACTTCTTTTAAGATATACGAGTCATTCAGTCATGCTATTGGACATGTTAGTTAGGGAGTTGCTACTCGAATCCAAATATTATGTCATTTATATTCGAGATAACTGAGGTCAGTTGTGTGTACTATGGTGCCTACAATTACAATGTTCGTATGGGTCCTGTATGTCCCTAGAACATGAGAACAGGGATCTATGCACACCTTACAAAACTGGGTATGATAATTCTGTAGGCTTCATTTATGAAGAGGCCTGTTCTGATAAGATGTTAATCTCAAACTCAAGTTAGATGTTGCGTGGGTTTTTTTTGGTTATTTATCTCAAACTGAAGTTGGATGTTATGTTGTTTTTTTTGTGTAGGTAAATATGTTGGTAACCGGCCGATTAAGCTCAGGAAAAGTGTGTGGAAGGAGAGAAACATCGACGTCGTGCGACGAAAGGACAGGGAGAAGAAACGTCTTGGACTGAGATGAAAATGCAGAGGGGATGATCGAATTATATCAGTGATATCCGTGTACCTTTTGACAATGCACAAATGACCATGGAGATTCAGGACTTTTAGAACGTTGTCATTTTCTTTGAAGGAGTTATCTATGGATTTACTTTCGAAATCATGATTGCTTGTGAAAATTAAAAAAAACTAACGGGCTGATGTCTGTACTGAAATGTTTGGTCGGACGCAGATATAATTGAAGTAAACATAAACAAATAAGATGCTGGTCTGCATAATTGAACGGTGTTATCATGCAAAATCGTATAAAGTAGACACCAGTGTATGCTGAAAACAGCAATCCACGTGTCTGATCTAATGAATACCGCGATTGCATTGTCAGTATTTTTTAATGTTGTTAATTTCAGGAGGACTATGTCGTTATTTTTTGTGGTGACATTGTAAACGGGATCAAATAATAAAACATATGTATTGCCGTAGGTCTTTACATAAATAGATAATGCGCTATACTATTCTGGGATTGTGCATTGTTATACGGTCATACATTCTAGTATATATATATATATATCAAGAAGTAGCACACAGCCAGGAGTAAACTGGTACGTAACAACAATATCCCTTAATAAAGCACAACTTCTTGTCGAATTATTTGTGATGTTTAAACAAACAGTATTCCTCGGGATGAAAAATAATAAAAAAAGATATATTACTGGCGATTGTAGAATCTGCATCTATGTCGTTGTCGGTTTCGTATTGTAAACAAAAATGAAGTAAATACTTAAGATGAAGGCTTGAGCATTTCAGTCGAAGCCAAAATGTTTATTTGTTATGAGCAAAGTTAAACTTGTAGTAAATCTGTCAGGACAGAGATAAGATATGAAAATAGCTGTTGGATGCTTTAAAAAAAGAATCTGCCGCAAATACAACCACTTACAAATGACAAGTAATAATAGCAAAGAAAGTTTAAAGTAGGTATATGAAAATAACTTATATATTGTAATGTTCTGTTGATATTTTTTGGCTCAAAATAGTCTTTCTGGTAAATATCAGTAATAGTAAAACTTCCTGCAATAATAATAAAAACAGCCTTTTCACTACATTGAGTGGGATCCATACCAAACACTATTAAGTGGTATGTATGTCCATAGTAAAAGGGTAGGAGACCAAAATGCCAGTCTTAACAAACGTATTGTGTGTAATAACACAGCATAAGCAAGTTTGATATCATAAAAAATAAAAATAATTGATGTACCTACTATCTGTGTGTTTTTATTTCATTATCTCTACAGTAACTGTCGATGTCTTCAGTAATTAAGTGTATACATGACACGAGGTAGTCGTGAAACATTAAAGCATTGATGCTATATATAGATTTATACTTAAGTAAATTTCACAAATAGGTTTGACTTTCACTGTAAGATAACACTGGGTCATCTTTGAAACGCCGAAACCAAAAAAACACATTGACCATGTAGTGTCAATACTCGCATTGGAAATGCGATGATTTAACCCCAGTCGGAAGGGTTCAAAGTTCAAACTCTATATGTGCAGCTATTGTATCAAAGTTGATGTTGTCAATACACAACTATCGATAGATGATATTTAACCCCAGTCAATAGGGTTATAAGTTCAAACTCTATATTTGCAGCTATTGTATCAAATTTGATGTTGATTTCGAGACCAAACTTATGTGCCTGTACACGTGTTTTTGAGTGTGTTTGTTCTGACAGAATCGCATATGACAGTCAGTTTTCTATAGCTCTATTTATCTAGATAATCGCAATACAAAGACCAAAAAAAGTTTGATTGTTGGTACCGTGTAACGAAAGCATTATATTTTTCTGAAAAATCCAAATCCCGTATCAGCAATCTAATAGAAAGAGAATACATATAGTTATTCTTATCCTATCATATAGGACTAGTTTCCCATCTTACATATGTAATACGTGTAGTTATCATTAACACATTATATAGTACTAGTTTCCAATCTTACACCTGTAATACATGTAGTTATCATTAACACATTATATAGTACTAGTTTCCCATCTTACACGTGTAATACTTGTAGTTATCCTTAACACATAATATAGGATTAGTTTCCCATCTTACATATGTAATACATGTATTTATCATTAACACATAATGTAGGACTAGTTTCCCATCTTATACGTTTAATACATATAGTTATCCTTAACACATAATATAGGACTAGTTTCCCATCTTATACGTTTAATACATGTAGTTATCCTTAACACATAATATAGGACTTGTTTCCCATCTTATACGTTTAATACATGTAGTTATCCTTAACACATAATATAGGACTTGTTTCCCATCTTACACATGTAATACATGTAGTTTTCCTAAACACATTATATATGACTTGTTTCCCATCTTATACGTGTAGTTATCTTTAACACATAATATAGGATTAGTTTCCCATCTTACATATGTAATACATGTATTTATCATTAACACATAATATAGAACTAGTTTCCCATCTCACACATGTAATGCATGTAGTTATCCTTAATACATAATATAGGACTTGTTTCCCAGCGTATACGTTTAATACATATAGTTATCCTTAACACATTATATAGTGCTAGTTTCCCACCTTACACGTGTAATACATGTGGTTATCCTTAACACATAATATAGGACTAGTTTCCCATCTTACACGTTTAATACATGTAGTTAACCTTAACACATAATATAGGACTAGTTTCCCATCTTAAACGTTTAATACATGTAGTTATCCTAAAAACATAATATAGTACTAGTTTCCCATCTTACACGTTTAATACATGTAGTTATCCTTAACACATAATATAGGACTAGTTTCCCATCTTACACATGTAATACATGTAGATGTCCTTAACACATGATATAGGACTAGTTTCCCATCTTACACGTGTAATACATGTAGTTTTCCTTAACACTTAATATAGGACTAGTTTCCCATCTTACACGTGTAATACATGTAGTTATCCTTAACACATAATATAGGATTAGTTTCCAATCTTACATGTGTAATACATGTAGTTTTCCTAAACACATTATATATGACTTGTTTCCCATCTTACACGTGTAATATATGTAGTTATCATTAACACGTAATATATGACTAGTTTCCCATCTTACACATGTAATACATGTAGTTATCATTAACACCTAATATAGGACTACTTTCCCATCTTACACGTGTAATACATGTAGTTATCCTTAACACATAATATAGGACTAGTTTCC